CCAGGTGCAGCGAGGGTTGGGCTGCGCTCCCAGCAGGGCCTGGCCACGGAGGCCACCCCTCTGCAGCAGCACCTGCACCCGCGCTGTCGGCCCAGGGCAGGAGGAGCCGCTGGGCATAGTGCTGCAGGGCACGGCTCTCGACTCAGCAGCCCTGGGCTCAGCTGGCAGACCCGGTGTGTGGCCCGTGCCTGGGACCAGCACGGTGGCATGGGCTCTGACAGCAGCTCTGGCCTGTGCTGGAGCAGACCCAGCCTGCAGTGAGGGGAGCGCTGGCCGGGGGCCCGGGCGTCTCTGGACCCCTGGCGGTCCTGCGGTCAGGCCCTGAAGGCGCTCGGAGACCACAGCACCGCCTGGGCAGAGAGGCCCTGACCTGCTAGGACTAGGGTTCCCAGCTTGCGGCCAGCTTTCCCCTGGACCCCCGTCACAGCGGCACTGTGACCGTCAGCCCTCCCTGGTGTGGACATGACGCGCTCAGGCATGCCGCCCGCTGCCTGCCCCGGCCCGCTGAGCTTTTCTCACGCACTGTTCGACCCAGCTTGCCCGCGTTCAGCCTTCTGTGGAAACGGCTTTGCTCAGTTTTCCTGCTGGGGTCTGTCAGTCTTTGGTTTGAGAACCAAGTCACCCTGAGGTTGGGACTCGCCCGAGGTCCGAACTCACCTTCCAAAGAGATGCCCGCATGTGCCTTACTGCTGGCCGTGTCAGTGAGCACCACGTCCCCATCACGCAGCCCAGCACTCACAGGAACAGCAGCGGGGTTCGGGCAGTTCAGGGGCCCAGGCCAGGCTGCAGCGAGATGGGATGCCCGCGGGGAGCACACGGGCTGCTGGCTCACGAGTGGAGTCAGGAGTGCCCTGGGCGGGCGTGTGCCCGAGCCTCGGCAGGCAGAGGCTGTGTGGGTCACGGAGCCGGACCCTGCTTGTGCGTGCTTCTCCCTCCCTCTCCCCGTCCCTTCCCCCGTCCCCCTCACCGTCCCCCTTCACTGTCCCCATTCACCATCCCTCTCACCGTCCCCTTCACCATCCCTCTCTCCCTGTCCCTCTCTCCCTGTCCCTCTCTCCCTGTCCCCCTCTCCCTGTCCCTCTCTCCCTGTTCCTCTCTCCCTGTCCCCCTCTCCCTGTCCCTCTCTCCCTGT